AGTGGAGGGTGGATTTGGGCGAGGAGGGGGCAGGGAAATGCACAGATCACAGAGTTGGGAGGAAAGGTAACAGAACTCTAGCCCTTAAAGTTTTTTACACACATCTGTTCAGCTTCCATTTGTGCCTTTTGACTTCATAAAAACACTGTAGGGAAGGTGATTAGTTGTATCTGTGAGTGGAGTGTCTGAATTTCTGAGATGGGGTCAGCACAGTAATGTTTCTAGAGCTCAGGAGCAAGTAAAAGAGCATTTTTGCAAAGACTTTTTCTGCTGAGTTCCTGGGAAGAAGGAACTACTTTAAGAGAACATAAATTATGACAGTTGCAGTGGAAATGATGGGTGACACTGTGGATTGCTGAAGGATTCGCTTCAGTTTTAGTCTTGATGTTGCTGACAGTGCTTAGGGGCACATTTCAAAACATACCCAGCTGCCAAAGGCTGTGTGTGTATCAGTGTTCCTGAAAATTTCACTTGTCACTTGGACCTCTAAAGATGCTGTCCATCAAGCTCTGATTTTTAAAAAAGTCCCCTCCAAAAAAAACCAAAAAACACAAACAAACCCAAACAAGACCCATACCTAAAATGAGTGGAGTAGTTCCAAAACCTTATTTGAAACTTCTATTCTGCCTTTCTAGGGGAGACAGACGCTTTGAAAAACCAGGGCGAAAAGATCCAGGTATGGTTTTGTTACTGTGTGGGCAGAAAGTGGGAGGGAGGAGCAGGGTGTGTTTGGGGAAGGGACCTGTTCATACATAAACCTTTCTTATTGCTCCAAGTATATTGTTGATGCAAGATTCATGATACTGTGTCAGGTTACCTAAATGTGTTCTCAAAGTGCTGGTTCTCCTATTTTGCGTTGTTTTCACTATTGGACATTTGAATGTTGTAGATAAGAAAAATCTGCAGTGAGTAGGTTCTGTTTATTCAATGAAGATGAAGTCTACAGCTGGAACTAAGCTCCTGTACCCCCGGGAAAGGGGCTGTGCTGGTGAACAGGTGTGCTGTGACAACAGCCCTTTTCAAGGCAGCTTTCAAACGTGCCTGGTGTGGGCTGTTTTGGCACCCAGGACTTCTTGACCTCCTGAACCGTTAATGGTTTTGAATGCCTGCCAGTGTGAGGTAGAGCCCAGCAGCAGTGTCCCCAGGCTCCCGTGCTGATGGATTTACTGTGTATCAAGTAAGTGTAAGTCATCACATGAACCTCCCTTTCATCCAGGTTATCAGCTGGTCCCCTGTCTGCTGTTCCTCTCCTCTCCTGTTTCTGAGGTGCTTCACACTGGCCATGTTCAGGCAGAGTGCTGGATCCTTAACTGTGGCCCTGCACTTCTGTTTGAATGTTCAGCTTGAGTTGGAGTGGGTCTGTCATCCTGGGGATGGAACAGGCATTTGGGTAAAACCTGTGCTTGGAGAGAGGGGAGGACACTGAAGGAAGCTGCGGCTCTCTGGTCATGGCAGTGACTTTTGCTTTGTGGGCTCAGGCACTGAGTGCTCTCTGGGGGGACTCTGCTCTTTCTCCATGGATGTTTCCATGAGCGTGGAGCTCAGCTGTGCCTGGTGACAGGTTTTGTGCAGTAACAGCTTGTCTGTCTGGGACCCAGAGAATCTCTTGGTCGTGGCTGAAGGCTGAGTGAGTCCCTGTGTGGTGAACATACTGATAAAGCACAGGTCGGGACAGACGATTGCAGGTTGAATGTAAGGATGGACAATGAAAAGGTGACAGAACTGGATGTTAATCCTTGCTTAGCTGTCAGTGTTTTTAGCAAGAGTAGCATCAATGGCCATATGACTAATTTTCTAGATGCTCGTGGTGGCATGTACCATAGGATTCTTAAATTATCATGTGTGCTTTCACAGGTGTGCCACCAGAAGTCCCAGTTAATACAGGCACTGGTATCCACGCTCAGGGAGGGCACTGACAGGCAGCCTGGAATTCAGACTGATGTGCTTTAGCAGATGCTTTGGATTCTGGTACCCTGATGTCAAACTCCTTGGTTTAGGATTTTATCTAATTTTACTGTGCTTCAGTCTTTCATTGTTCCTTCACAGGGCCTCAGATTACATAATTTACTGAGTTGCCAACTGTTTCGTGTTCTTTTTGGTGGATGATCACACTACAGAATAAGAGATCAAATATTAAAGTCTTCCGGGCATTCATAATGGATGCCATTGCAAGAACTCCCCAATTAAAAATCATGAGATTAAAAAAGTGGTAGACCTTCAACAAAGGGTTACTTCTCAAAAGTTATCAAGATGCTGTTCTTAAAAATTAATGACTGCTTTTTCAGTGCTCACAACAGTTTGCAAGATCACGTCTGACTGACTCTCAGCATAAACAGTATCTGTCCCTGGTTTCAGTATGCAAATTGGGGATGCACAAAGTATTTGGGAGTTCCTGTTGCAGATTGTCACAGTTCTGACAGACTTCACTGAGAACCCAAATGGTTTCTGGAAGGCTGAGGCCATTAGCAAAGAAAATGAGCAAGTTGTTTTCTTGAGCACGTCTGTCTCTGCACAAAAGCTGCTTAATTTTCCGTGCAGCCTCTCGACTAATACCAGCTTAGCAGCTGAGGGGATTTGATTAGTTACCAGCAGTTACACACTGGTAGTAAATAATTGTTATGTAGATTAAACAGAACTTCTAGCAACTTCTAGCTGTGGAGCCTGATTGAGTTCTGTTTAAGATGTGGGGTTTGGTTAGGTTAAGAAGACTCGAACATAAAATGTGTGTTGAAGTGGCCGTAAAAAAGCGGTGCTGGATTTCTGTGAATTGCACTTGCCCTTGCTCTGCCTGGCTTGTTTTCCTGCACCAGGAGGTGCATCCACGAAGGCTGGGCCCCAGTGTGCTCTTGCAGTGCTGAAGCACAGGGCGCTGTGCTGTGGCACCAGAGCCCATCAGCAGTTGTCCTGGGCTCCTCTTCAAGTTTGGGCCATGGCTTGTTGCCAGTGCTTTCAGACATCTGTGGTTCACCAGTTCTCTGGAACTGTAAAAGCAATATCAGTGTTTTTTCTACCCCTTGTTCTGCAGCTGTTCTGAAGTAACTACAAAGTTCTTTGTCTGATTTGCTTCTTAATATTATTCAGCTTTACATTCCCAAGTGAAATATTTGAAGACTGCAGTTAGTGTGTACTAAACATATTTTTTCCTTATACTTGCTGTTGTACCCCCTTTTAAACCAAGTCTATAAATAGAAAATTATTTTAAAGACAGGACAACTTTCAAGTATCACATAACTTAAAAATGAAATGAAGCAGCCCACACTTTGATTAGATGTTAATTGAAGTTAGAAATAGCTTTTTATAGCTCTGGCACTAAATCATGAGAGTACAATCCTGTCCTGTCGGGATTATACATGTGAATTTGAGAACAACTGGTTTGTCTGAGAGCAGAGGATGTGATATATGGGAAAAACAGTACTTCACCCAGAATGCTACCAAACAGAATACTCTCAATACCTCACCCAGAATGCTGCTCTTCTTTCCTAAGTGATTAGTTCAGACTTCACACAGGGATCTGTTCTTGCACAGGTTGTTAATTTGTAGGACTCTTATCAATGTCTTACGTTGGTCGTGAATGTGGAAAAAACACTTGCAAGAAATACTTCAAAGTTATTGGTGCTGACACGCGGCTGGAAAAGGGACCTTTAAATTGTATGTGGGTCAACAGCTCAGCGGAGCAGGCATGGAGGCAGGCAGGGTAACGTGGTGGTGTGCTGCGCTCTGAGCTCCACAGTCTGCATGAATGCCTGTCCAGAAAATGAGGGTGGAAAAGGATTTTGAGAGTGTGTGATAAACCAGTTGTGTCTGAGGTCTGGAATGGGGGGAGGCACTGCTTTTAGCAGTGTTGGGATGAGCTCAGTTGCAGCAGAAGCACAGCCCTGCTGCCTCATTGCCCTGCCTGTGCTAGAGGGCTGCTCCCCATCCCCACACCAGGAGTTCCTGCTCGCCCCTTTTGGTTGGGAGCACATCCCAGTGAGCGGTTTGGGGACTTAAGAAGATTCAGTTAAACAGAACCTTCTCAGGCAGCTTGTGCCCATTTTTCCTGCTGTTGACCACTTGGGGAAGTTAAAAGGAGGCATCTTTGGTAGTGTGTTATGCTCTTGTCAATCACAGATGCTATTTATGCCATCTGGGTTTCTGGGAAAAGTCTTCTAGCTTTGAGAGGTAGCTTTATTTTAATACTTGACTGACTAGGTATGGACACCCAGCAGGCACTGCTTTTGTGGAGAGCCTGGAAATAATTATCCATCGTTCTGTTTTTCCTGTAGCATCTTCAATTATTTAGGAGCTTCAAAACAGTGTCTTTAATTGCAGCAGGTTTATGAGGCACTTAAATACAGAAGTCTCATGTACAGTTTGTTTTAATTTTTTATTTCAAAATTGATCCAAGTGTCTCTAAATATTTCTGTGCTGTGTGTGCAGGCAAATATTGATGTTAAAAAGCATAAAATATAAGTGGATGTGGTTCTACTTCTCCTAGATATAGTGCATCCCTCTGGGTCAGATGTACTGCAGACAAGCAGTGACAATATGGGCAATGTATGAACCTATTAAAAAAAAAAAGTAAACCCATTCATTAAAAATAGTCTGTTTGCCACTGCTAAATAATTTATTCAGTGTTTCCAAATATGAAAAAATTTCCACTGCGGCATTTGTCATATACATCAAGATTTTTTGATAGTGTCTTCATAGATCTGTCTGGAAATGAGATGTTCTTTTACTTGGCAGAATAAAGAACTACACTTAGTATTTACAATTTTGCTTAATAAGCACAGCAGGAGTGCTTTTCACTGCCATGAGAGATTGGCAGGACTTCCTAAGAGTGAATTCAGCCCTCTGAAAAGTGATGTAACTGTATTCCCAAGGAGTTAAGAGAACAGAACTGGTATCTTGGATGAACAGAGTTACTTAAACCAGAACTAATGCATTTACTGAGAGACCTCATATTGTTTTCTGCTTTTGTATTGTTATCTGTCTTGTCACAAGCTGGTTAACTATGAAGATCTCTCCTTCTGGGCTCAGTGTGGCTTTAATCACAGTCTGGAGAATTCAGCAGGTAGCTCTTCTGATGTTTGTACTGTGGTTCTTGTACCTGACTCCATGCTGGGTGATCATCCAGCCCCTCGGGGCAGGATATTCTCTTCACTCTGTTCTCTTCACTCTGTGTCACATTGTAATCAAAGGAATGGAAGTACAAGAAAAGGATCACTAGAAGATGGCAGGGCAGGCAAGGAGGGAAGGTTGTAAGTGGAACCTGACAGTTTAATGTAATAATAATTAAAAAAGCCCCGAGTCCACAGTCTGTTCTCTCTATTCTGTGAGGCCAGTCTCGGAGAGCTGGAAGCTGTCAGCGTGCTGCCCGTTGATGCGGATCTCCTTGTCAGTCCTCCTGGGGCTCTTGGAGTCGGCTGCAGCCGGGAGCTCAGGAATAGTCTTGTCAAAGTTCTCCATCTGGATGTGGTACTCGCCTTGGGCACTGCGGGCCAGCACGGGGGCGAAGCGGTGGGACAGCAGGATCTCCGAGGGCAGGTAGGACGTTCTCCTTTGGCATGTTTCTCCCGTGCCCTCCTGCACAGCTGACAGGAAGACGACCAGCTCAAAGTGGTGAGGAGCTTCTCTCTGGAGGAGAGCAGCCAGCGGGCTGGATGGAGAGATGGAATGGTAGTAGGTCAGCGGGAAGATGAAGAAAGGACACTCGGCCGCGCTAACGCTGTCGAGGTGGAAGTCGATGCTCGTTTGGTGCAGCTGCCCGTTCTCCTGCTCTTGGTACAGGATAGCAGAGATCTGGACGCTGGTCAGGGGGCTGGAGCGAGTGTTGGCCACCTGGAACATGAGGTGTGGCTTTCCCTCGGGGTGTGTCACCACGGCAGAGCGTGTGAAGCGGATGGAGAACGCCCGGTTCTTCGGGCGGGCGATCTTGGCCACGAATGCACCTGGATCGCGGGAGAGAACAAGCTCAGCGCCAGCACAGGGCCTGGGGGCTTCCTGCAGCTCCCAGCTCCTCCAGACAGCCAAGGGAGCAGGAGCAGGCCTGGGGGGACAGGCAGGCTGGAAGGACTGTGTTTGAGAACTGCTGGGCTGGCACTGCACTAACCCGTTTGGGTTAAAAAAAGTGGAGTTGCCCAAAATGCTGCGTTTCCAAAGCTGTGTTATATTTGGGAGTGAACTGGAGCTACAAGAAGAGCTGTCAGGTTGCCCCGAGTTACTCTACTTGGTAATAGTACCTGATCTTGGTGTGTTACACCATAAAAGCTCTTTTTAATACACAGTAAACTAACTTGTGTATTTTTAAAGTATTTTGAATGACTTTAAACCTGAAAATTATTTAAAATAACTGAAAATACCTCGAAGTGGCTGTGACATTGTAAAATCTTCATAACATTGGGTACTGAGGAATACTTAAACGCTGAGTTAAAGATCAACAAGAATAGTTCAGCTAAACAGAACTATACCTTAAAAATCAAAACAAATAGACTTTAAATATTGTAATTATGTGGAAAAAACTTGGAGAGGTAATGGTATAAGAAATAAGTGATTGAGAGTGATAAGCAGGGATCTGCCACAAGTATTGTCCAGTGAATAGCAGAACTCTGAAGTTCAGATCTTGATAGCAGCTAATTTATGTCTTTTGTTAATGAAAGGTGTTTTAGTACTACATAGCTGGAATCTCACCATCCTTGCAGTGACTGCCTTAGTTGTTCTCCCATAAATCCAACTGATCAGTATTTCTAGCTCCATCCTCAAACCCGGTTGTTCCACCTGTTTTGTTTAAGGCTGGACTGGGAAGGCTTACCTGTGATGAAGGCTTCCAGCATGAGCCCCAGGACCATCTGGATTGCCAGCAGTGCGATGGCGCTGGGACAGTCCCCGCTGGGGAACATGGTGCCGTAGCCGATGGTGAGCTGTGTCTCCAGGGAGAAGGAGAAAGCGGCTGTAAAACTGGTGATGTACTTGACACAGATAGTGTGGTTGTCAGGGGGAGCGTCGTGGTCCAGCTCCAGGTCCCCGTTCATCTCAGCCAGCAGGTACCAGAGCACTGCAAAGACCAGCCAGTGGAGGACAAAGGAAGCGGAGAAGACGAGCATCATCCACCTCCAGCGCATGTCCATGAGGATTCCCCAGGCGTCGCGCAGATAGGCCAGGCCTTTGCCCCGCGCCCCGTCCATCTGCAGGGTGCTGTGCCCGTCCTTGGTCACCATGCGCTGGTGCCGCTGGGCCAGCAGGGGAGCGCTGGCTTTGGTGTTGTTGCTCTCCATCATATCCGTTGTCATGGGCTGGGAAGGAGAGAAAGGGAACAGGAGGGAGACAGTGCAGCATATTTGTATTTTGCCTAACGCTCACAGGTTTTGACACATCAGCAGGGGTTGAAATACTGCAGCCAACAAAGGAGGGCTTATACATTGCAATCCAGAGAAGATTAAGTCAGGAGCCTGGAGAGGAATTTACCACTGTTTGTGGTAATACTTTGTTAAAAAAGATTAAGTTTAAAAATCTGACTACTTCTCAAATTTTCCCTGCTTAGTTGTTTAAATATAACTTTCATACTTTACCTTCCTAAATGTACATTGGAGTCACATGGTTTAATTCTTTGGGAGTGAGTGGGATGGGCTTAGCATACTGTGTCTGAAAAGAAACTCTGTTTTGTCTGATTATATCAGGGTTTGTAACTGTTCAGCAGAGTATAATTTACCAATACTATTGTGAATACTAGTAACAGTAGTACTATGGGAATAATATTTATTCTGTTATTTCTCTGACACATTTATGCATTTTAGAGGAATGCTGTAGTTAAGCTAGCAGCTCTGTCAGACTTCCCTGGCTCTGGAAATGTCTGCACCCACCACGTCCAGTTAAACAGAACTACAGTATTCAGGGCAGAGCTGCTTCGGGGAGGCTGGGGCTGTTTATGTAAAGATCAGGTAAAAGGAGTGCAGGAGACCAGTACAGGAAATACACTGTGACATAATTTGCAGTCTGGTCTGTCGGAGCAGTGCCATTTTTATTATTAACCAAATAAGAAAATAGGACAGCAGGCATATGGGATTTAAGGTGGAATTGCAAGTGTGGGAAGCAGATTGGCTTCCTCTAGGTAGTTGACGTGTTGGGCTCCTTTGATTCCTTTTAAACCTCAGAGCTTGCTGTATTTGCCAGAGGTGCTGAATGTCTTTTGAAGAGGCACTGGTCACTCAAATCCATAAATTTTAGAAATACTGGATGTTTATAGTTCACCTGGGATTTATGTAAAATAGAGTTAATAATTCGTACTACCTGCTTAAATAAGGTTGTATTTAAAACAACAAAGGATTTAAAAATACATCTTAATTCTGCAAATCATGGTTATACAGGGGGTATTTAGTCAATTTTGGTTTCCTATCACTTTTGACCTTTCTCTGAATTAGACTATTTCAGTATGTAATGTACATTTCCAAACATCTGAGGAAGTGGATCTTTTTCCCTCCAAGAGTGCCATCTTAGTTTTGTCTTGAAGCACATTATATGGAAGGACACTGAACTTCAGAAGTTTATGGAAGGTAAAAATCTGTCTTGTGATCTTTGGTCCCATAAGCCAGCTGTTTCCATGACTTTATTTAATCTTCATACCAAATTTTAGTAATTACAGAACATTCTCTTTTGCTTTCTGATGCTTAATTCCTACTGAGGTAGGAGGATTGACTTACTTAGCTAAATATGTCAGTATTTAGAGTGAATTAGAGTGAATATTTAGCTAAATTTTCATTTTGCTTTCCTTCCCTTCTGTAGGTTCTCAAAACTGTCCTGCTATTACTTCTATCCATGCTTTAGTCAAAGGAGGTAGAGTAGCTGATGGCCTGGGTGGAATTTGGTGGGTTTCCCATCATTTTTATTTTCCAGTTCACATCTCCTAGGAGGAATATTTGAAAACTGCTCCCTGTGCCAAATACAGTGATCTCTGGTACCAGGCCACTTTTCTTGGGCTTTCTGGTCATAGTCCATTCTGATCAGAGCTCATTCAGCCCCCCTGCGCTGAGTTTGGTCTTTAATCTGCTGCACAGCTCCCTAAATGACAGTTCTCACTACTGCTGCACTTTCACAGAGTTTACAGTGACCTGAATGCAATTAGAAGTGCTCCAGTAATCAGATGATTAGTGACTGGTCTGCAGAGCAGAGTCCTTGTGCTAAGGTCTAGGGGAGCCCTTCTGGATGCCTTGAAGGAGCTGGAAAACAGGCATCTCTGAATGGGAATGATGGTGGGAACCTGGCTTACAGCGAGCTGCGAGCAGTGCCTTGGTTTTAATAGCTTAGAATAAGCAGTACTGACAAGAAACACTTGTGTGAACAGAGGAGAACCCTTAGAGAACAAAATGCCTCTGCGTGTAAACACCATGCATTTTTGGGGAAAAAAACCCAACCCCCCCAATACTTGTGTGTTCCTGTAAATTCTCATGGTACTTGGAGGACAGCACCTGCTTTGTAGCCTCCAGGCAATTTAGGTTTGCAAAACAAACACTTGTTGTGAGAATGAATCTGATACTGACTGACTGGGGCCTGATCCTGCAGTGCTCCATCCACAAATCCATGCTTTGGGGCCTGATCCTGCAGTGTTCCATCCACACATCCATGCTTTGGGGCCTGATCCTGCAGTGTTCCATCCACACATCCATGCTTTGGGGCCTGATCCTGCAGTGCTCCATCCACACATCTGTGCTTTGGGGCCTGACCCTGCACTGGGCCACACTTCATGCTTAATATGATGCCTTTTCCCTGGCTGTGCTGCAGATGTCACAGTGCTGAGGTAGTGTGAGAGACAGCCCCTCTCTCCCCCCCAGCAGCACATCTCAGAACAGGGCTGTGGCTCTGTCCTTGAGTCTCCTGGCTGGGGAATGTGCCTGCAGAGCTTAACCAGGTTATGCCCTGGTTCATTTGATACAGACCTGATTTTTATTGTCTAAGACTGTTTAAAATATTGTGTGTCTAATTCAGTGGCAGTGATAGCAATGGAAATGTGTAAGCTTGAGTTCCAGATTTTTTTTTTTTTTTTGCGAACACTACTGATGGCATTAAGAGCCACGAGTCTCAACTTGCTGGGGTGAGAAAATGGGTAGGAAACTGTGAATAGGCTCTGAGAGCAATGCAGTTGAGTGAGAGAGGTGAAAGAACAACTGCCCTGTGAGAAATCATTTACCCAGGCTGGAGGACCAGTCCTCTGTTTCTCAAAAGCAGAGACCACTTAAGAGCAGATGTGACTTTGAATTTCAAAAGAATTACTGTCTTCTGTCTGCTCCCTTCTCTGCCTGCTGTTAGTAAAACAAACCAACACCTGATCTGATCCCCTGCCTGGCATGCTCCCTGATGTCCCCAGGTAAATCCCAATCTCAAACAGTGTGGGTTTTAGGAAAGACACAACTTTGACTTGGAAAGAACAGTTCTGCATTGCTTGTTGGAGAATGCTTGTCTCCACTGGTACAGGCATACTGTTTCTCCTCCAGACTGGTCCCCTCTTATGTCTTAACCACCTCTGTTATGCTGTTCATTTGGTTCTGCCTTTCCTGGTTCCTGACTTGGGAAGCTTTGGGGTGTCCCTTTTCTTTCCATCTCCCAGCTGAAGCCCCTGACTGGAAAGACAGGAACTGTCACAAATTACTTTTCTAAACCTCTTTTGACATGTTGGCCAGTCTTTTACCAAGCATTCATTCTGTCTAATCCTTCCTGTTGCCAGTCTGGTGAGGACTAAATTATCACCAAGGCCAGTGTGTATGTCAGTTCTTAGCTTTTTCTGGTTTTCCATCTTTTTACCACCTTATTCCTCATCTTGGCTCTTTTCTTCTATGCATTTTTCTAAAACTGGTCAAGGTGTAGGGTACACATGGACTTTTAAAATCAGAAGTCAGAGGTTCCTGCTCCTAGCAGTGGGACTGGTTCTAAACTGACCTGGCTAGCTAATGATTTATGTGTAATAAAACAGCTTTAGGCTGTAGTTATGAATTTCTGAAATGCATGATCCAGCACACTGGTCTCCCACGCTTTGCCATTTTGATTGAGATCTTCTTCCTGGTGGTGTAACAGTTTTTATTACATTCCAGTTCCATGCCACCACGTTGCTTTCCTCTCTTCTTGCTTGGCCTTTCTCTTGGCAGCACAGACTCAGCTATTTTAGCTCAGGGTTGTGGGGGAATTAATTTGGAGCACTGTCTTCATTTCCTTTTCATTTACCTTCTCAGGTGAAGGCATTTGAAGTGCCACTTCCAGCCTATTTTCAGCTCAGTACCGTGATGCACCTGCAGCCCTTTCAGGAGCCTGGGTGCCTGTAGGAGGAGCTGTGTTTGGGGGATACTTCTGAGTTGCTGCCCTGCCTGCCCAGCTCCTGCCTTTAAACTGTGCTCTACCTGACCTTGGAGGGATCGCAGACAGCTTGTGCTGCGCTGCTTCCTCCTGACAGCAGAGCAGTCAAGAGGACCTGCTGTTTGCTGGGAGTGACTGCCAGAGCTGCTTCCAACAGCAGCATAATGGGAAGATTTGCTAGAAGCAGGTAGTGGTGGCAGCATTGGCCTCTGGGAATGTGTACATTCCCTCTCTACTTGACCTGGGTCTGCGTAATCACAGACAAGTCAGAGATTCAAGCATTGCTCTGAGCTGTGCTCTCTCAGATGTGTTGCTGCCTCTGTGCTTTGCAACAAGAACAAACTGAGACTAGAATTTTTTTGAAGGCACTTCCATGCTGTTAAAATGGTTATTTGTGTAGTGGTATTTTTTAGATTATTGTGTACTGTTGTCTGTGGAGTGAATGGCAACCTTTGAGATGCTCTGACATTAATATTAGGAAGTGAAGTTTTTTTCAGTATGGATGACATGATTGAATCATATAACTTACAGTAAGGGACAGTTTTAGAAATGTAGGAAGCAGATCAGTTTCAGTAACTGGTTGAAAGCTTTTGCTGCTGTTGCGAGCAGGACAGTTTAGGTTTCAAATGTCTGTCCTTTAGATTTTGTAGCTGGTGCGTCATTGAGATGAATGGGAATAGTTTGTGATAGAACTGTTATTTCTGACCAATTTGCAGAATTAAGGTAACACTTTTCAGGACTTGTTACATTTATAAGTAGGTCTTGTAAAAATGGGAGCTTGAATTTGTTGAGCCCCAGTCACATTTTTCAAAGCAAGTGCCGCAAAGTCCGGGGTGTGAGAGCTCGTACTTTTGACTTTCTGTGACAGCTTACTGCAGAATGCACTTTAAAGAATAGTGGGAGACCATGTCTCCTTTCATAGTACAGAAAACAAGGCTGCCTATAGACTTGACTTTTAGGAATCCAAATTGTGCTCCATTTTGTGTATAATGTATTTTCACAGTAGTACTCTGAGGACCCATATGAACACTTAATTCTTGATTATGAAGTAGCATCTGAGAGGACCAACTAGTCTGGCCACCCTTAGAGAAACAGAAAAACTTAACATTTAAGCAAAATCTCGGGAAAGGCTTCCACATATGCTAGCATGTATTAATTCCTCATAAAGAAACAAAAATGCAAAATGAAATATTGCCAGTGGAGGAATAGTCTGACAGTCAGGAGGGAGGATTGTATTCGATGTGAAGCTGTAGCAGTACAGATCTGCTGCACCCATACTGTGGAGTGAGCTGTGCTGGAGGAGCAGTCCTGCCCTGTGTGGTGCAGAGTTCAGTTCCCCAGGGCTTGCCTGGAGGGACTGGTTTTCCAGGCTGGTGGAGTTCCCTCGATGCCCGGGTGTGGTTTCCTGTGTTGGCTCAATGTGTCAATGCTCAATAAATCAGGCTTGAGCAGGTGAAGTGAAATGCTGTGATGATGAGTGCAGCAAGGTGGGCAGGATGTTATCCTGACTCTTGTCCAGTCTCATAACACCCAGCTACCTGAGCTGGAGACTTGCAAATGCTCCCTGTCTGCAGAGCATTGCAGAGTCTTTCCAGCATTACTTCTCTCAAAAATGTTCTGCAAAAATACTGTGTAATGCCTTTGATTTTGCTTTGTGTACTCTTAGGACTGTGGTCACCTGAGAAAGCATTTTCTTCTTTTAGAGGTGGGGAAATCAAATCATTTTCTTTAGGGTCATAATTAATTTAGCATGCTTTAGAAATAAAACTCTCTCCCCTGATAACTACTTGGATTTCTTTGATTAAAGAATGACAGAACAATTTCAAATTGTACAATAAGAAAAAATGGGAAAATACGGTTTTGTTTACTTACCAGTCTTTGAAGGGTTGTGTGCAGGAGGATGGGGTAACCTGGGCTCCAGGAGAAGGACTGGGCTGCTCTGGTGTATTGGTCCCACCGCTGGCAAGAAACTTCCCACAAGTGGCTGGTAGAGATTTAAAAAAAACCACCAAAACCCTTTAAAAATGGGTTTGTGTGTCTCATTCCTGTGTTTATAGTGCTGGGGGGCTGGTTTTCCTCTGAAGCTGATTTGATTGGTCATTTTGCCTGCAGGGGGGCCGGTTAGCTCTGATCATGTGGAAAAGAATGCTGGTTTGTTAGGAGCCTTTCTTTACCCAACACAAACCCTTAGCGGCCAAGGAGAAATCCTCTAACACTTACTTGGAGAAGGGCTGCCTTCCCCCTCAGCTCCTTCATCAAGATCATTTTTTAGGTTTGTATAATCCTGAAGCTTTACATGAAAGTTGAAAAGGCCAAAATTCTCTGGGAAAAGTCGAATGGAGAAGTTCTTGTATTGCTGCTGAAAACCCCCACGCTGTTCTCTGATACTTTCTCTCTAACCGATGTCAACTGCTGTTTGTTTAGGTGAGGAGAGAAACTCTGGTGTGTCCCTGCTGCTCTGCAGTGCCACTGGTTCCTCTGGGGTTGGTCTGGAGCGTTGGCATTACCAGGAGCGGGTTCTGAACCCCTCCTGCTGCTCAGAAACACAGAGCTGGCCACAGCCACACTGCTCCTTTGGGGGAATGCGGAATTAGTCCCGGTGCTCTGTCCAACCTACAGTGAACGCTGCAGATGAGGGGGCTTGCTGGTGGCTGTGGCAAACCAAGCCACTTTCACTGAAGCTCTCGCTTCTCAGACGAGAAGAGTTTTGTGCTTTAGCTGAGTGGCTGCAGAGCTGCACTGCTAAACCAGCTCTGAGGACAGCTCTGGAACCCAAGAGTAGTTCACACTTCTTTTTTTTTTTTCCCCATGGTGAGCTGCTGATGTGAGGGCTTTGATCGAACGTCACATGTAAGAGGATCTGAGAAACAAAGGCTGTGGTTGTTTGCAGTAAAACTACTGAAGGCCTGCTGGGAAAATTATTAATGTAGACTTTCCTGCTTAGGAAACAAAATCCTCCCTATTTTTTTTTTTTTTCACTTTAACCTTCCCCCAGCCCTAAATTGCAAAATATTAAGTTCTTTGCTTCATTAGTATGGAATATTTTAATACATGTTCAGGCACAGCACCAATAGCCATAGTGTGACCTTCAGAACCAGAATAATGTGGTGCAAGGGGGCTCCCACCACTGTGGCAGCCCAGGAGGACAGTGTCACTTGTCCTTCACCCTTCCTGTATACCCCAGCAAAACTGGCCTTCCACTGCAGCCTGCCTCTCTTATTTAAAGAGGGATCCTTTTTGCAAATAGTATTTTCATACAAACCATGTTTTGTCCTGTAGAAAGCACTGGTGTCTGGTCACAGGTTTTCCACTCTGACTCAATTGAATGAATTGGAAATCTGACACAAAGTTGTGCAGCAGATTAAATACGTATGGTACATGATTTCCAGGTGTGTTTGAGAATTAAGCTCTTGTTAATTCCTTTGAATCTACTTGTTCACCCATACCCATGACAGTGGATAAGGGTCAATTTAATGGGAAAAATACGGAGTGAGGCTTGAGTTGTATGTTTTTGAGACCTACTGGTGAGGTTGAGATTTTATGGAGAGAATGTGAAGCCAGAAACGGGATTCAGAACTTCTGATCCCTGTCACTGATAGTCACTTCCTGATGTTTGTATTCCCGTAGTGTCCCTAGTCCAGTAGTGTCCCTTCCCTCAGTGTTGCACAGCTGTGGCTTTTTTGGCTGGCTACCACCAGGCTCTGTCTGAAGTTTGGTGTAAACACCACTGCTGGCTTTGTGACAGACTTGAACAGAGGTGCCCTTTTACTGCTCCTTCTCTTCAGGAAGTCCAGGCAATTAGTCCAAGGCAAAACCAGAGATTGCATTTTGGTTTCTTTCATCCTTAAAACGCTGCCAAGTACTGATTCTTTGACCTAAGTCATTTCAGCTGAATGATTGTTCTCAAGTCTAGGAACAGTTTGCAGAGACTGTGCCGGGCCTTTGGAAGGTATGGATTTAGCTGTAGTTCAGCTGTAGGAGTACCCCTGTACTCAGTTTGTCATGGTCTTTCTGTCACTTGGGTCACTTCATTTTTCTGATCTGGTCCTGTGACCGGTTTGTGTTTGTAAAGAACCAGTTTCTTGGCTGATCTATCTTGATCTTCAGGATCGTCTCGTGCCAGACCTGTTTTGACACATGCCTTGCTGTCCTTGACTGTTGCTTGCTGTGGTGTCCTAGCACCAGAAACCCGAGGATGTTGTGATACACTGCATTTTTTCTCTTTATTCCTCTGGAGTGGAACAGTCAGAGCAGTCTCGGAGGTGACACACTGGAATGGTGCTGTGTTTGCCAAGGTTTTGGAATCACAGGTGATCCCATCCTCAGATGAATATAAAACTGACTCCTTATAACTGATTTTTTTCCATTTCTACATGTCTAACTCTAGAATCAGAGGAGGTGCAGGTTTCCACTCATGTCTGATCTTGGCAAACAGCATTTGATGTTTTGTCCCCTCTGCAGAGATGTGTTTGAAACGCCGTTTTCTGCAAGTTCAGAAAACAAACCTGACCTGGATGGTTCAGTTCTGGGGAGCAGAACCAGCTACCTTAAGGACTAACAGAACCTGAGCTGCCTTGGTGGTGCCCACAGCACGAATACGTGTGCAGAGGGGCAAAAGCACATAGATACACAGTGGCAAAGTAGACTCCACAATGTTCTTGAAGTGACTTTTCCCCCCTCCAGTGTTTTTGGAGGAGCAGAACAGAGCCTGTGAGCTGATGGGTTGGCAGAGACCAGTCTCCAGAATCAAATGAGCTTGATAACAATGGAAAGGAATAACATCCTTCTTTTTCTTAGTTAGTAGACTCTAAAATGTCTCAAATAATGTTACTGAATAAGTGTCAAGTAATAGCTGTGAGTTTTTACAAAAATAGCAGATAAATCTGAATATTTGTCTTTCTTGTCTCAAAATGGTGATTTGAATAACTTACCTTTTAGTAACTTTTAGTAGTGTCTTGTGCTGCAGAATAAAAAAAATTGAAGGGATTCCAGAAAATATTGAGCTGGAGAAAGAAAAAAGGGTGTTTTTTCCCTCCACTGTTTTGAGCTGGTGGAGAGGGGGAATGTTGTTTTTGTCTCCAAGATCTGTGCCAAGTCCAAAGCCAGTGTGTGTTTCCTGTCTCCAGAGGGCAATGTCTCTAGGTAGGAAGAGTTCTCAAGTTCTGATATGCCATAGAATTTCAGATACTCTGTTTCTTAATTTTTTGTCACTGAAAAAGCTGCCTGATGGGCAGAAAGGGAAATGCATTCTGCTATCCTATCTTAACTAAATTCTTTAAAATGTCCCTTTCCACCCCAGGAGTCTTAGAGCATAATCATGCTTTATTTTGTTTATTCTAAGAAAGCAGGCACCAAATACCATCTTACATTTTTTCATTTTCAGACTCTTAAGAAGGAAAATTCAGTATACTTTTCTCTAGTACTTGAATACTATTGAATATTAATAGATAACAAGACAATTTTAGGGTGTTAACCTTATCAGTTACAAAGTGGCATCACCATGGTTCCTGTGAGAGTTTGGTGCTAAACAATTGAACATGGTGAAAGAAATACAAAATCCAGAAGTCCTCAGGCTGGTGCTGTCAGTTGTTTCAGTGGTGCTGGATCTTGTCAGGGTGAATCAGCAGTGAAAGCAGCATCTGTGTTTAGCCTGGGCATACTGGTGTGTGATGTGGTGGATGTAGTGGTGTATAATGGAGAGCCTTTTTATAAAAATATTTATATCATCTCTTCTGACAGTCTTGTTCCTCATTTAGTACTTGAGGATTTTACGTTTTGTTTTAAACACAGCATGAAGTAAATTGGGAACTAAAAGACTGTCCTGAACTTTTTCTTAACTTATCCTTGAGCCTTGAGCATAATTGCTTCTACCTCCCCCCACACTGACCCAAGGGATGGATTCACAGCATAATGTTAAGTGTTAAGTTTTTTTCTTGTTCCTTAATCCTGCTTTAAACTTCCAGTGTTTCCTAAAACATGGCAAGAGTGCTGTACGTCGTGTTGGATTAAATGTGGAGATCTCACATTCTTTTTGTTGCAGCAGTAGCAAATGTTTGGTTTATATATTGTTTACAGTTTGCTGCTCTCCCACTTTCCTTTAGCATGAGACTTTTCATGGTAGAGCAGTTTATTCTTCTCTTTCTGTTAACTTCCTTACATCTCCTAAACTGCCTTTTTCTCCTCTGTCTTTCCTATTCATGTTCTAATTTCTTGTATGCTTTGCTTACTTCTAGTGTGCTTTTTATTTCCTCAGTCTTTCCATCCCAAGGTACATAGGGACCTGGATTTCCTAAATCCGTCATGTTTCCTTCCTGAAACTTCCATTCCTCTCCTAGGTTCCTACAACCAGTTCTGGTGTGGTTTTGCCTCCAAGGGAGCAGGATTTTCAACCCTTTTGCTTCTGTATTCCTAGAGACAGAACACATGTTCAGTGGCCTGTGTTTGCTTTGCAGTGAGACCAAACTTCGAGGAAGGTGGGACAGCGACAGCGGGGAGGAAACACGAGTTTATCCGCTCTGAGAGCGAGAACTGGCGCATCTTCCGGGAGGAGCAGAACGGGGAGGATGAGGATGGAGGCTGGAGACTGGCTGGGTCCCGCAGGGACGGCGAGAGGTGGCGGCCCCACAGCCCAGGTGAGAGGGCAGCTGCCAGAAAGGTAGCCCTGCTTACAGGGAAGGGGCAGGGGGAATCAGGGCTTGAGGGAAAGGGAGGTCCCAAGTTCGAGACAAAACTCGGTGAGGTTCGTGTGGTTTGGGCCGTGAAATGCTGCTCTGGCCTGCAGGGCACTCTGCAAAACGATCAGCATAAAATCGTGTGCTTCGGTTTTCTTCTGAACATCTTCCACACCCTTACCTATGTATTTTGCAGGTGCGCCCTTGTCTGTGCTGTGTTCCAGGTGTGTATGTACCTGGTAGAAGCAGGATTTTTTTAGTAATACTGTTTCTTTGTGGCTGTGACGATGAGGGGAGATAAAGGACCCACATTAGGCAGCATTTCTGAGGCTGGGATGCTCACACTAAACCATCTTGGTCAGTGACCTCTTTTTCTGGTTTTCCAGCTGTGTTTGCAGTGCCAAGAGGCATCCTTGGAAAATCTCAAAATATATTGCTCTATGCCTTTTGTAGATAGTTACAGGATGTCTTTTCCGGATAAATGTCAGGCACCAGTTTAGTGTCACTCTCCCCTTCTCTGGCCTGACAAGATGGGTCTATTCACTTGTTTCAAGCATTAAATTCATATATTTATATATAAATATATATATATTTTCCCTTCTGTCTGGAAAAGATTCAGTCATACCTGTCGTGGGATCCTGGGTTTGGATATCTCTTGGCTGCAGAAGACTTCTGGGCTACCAAGGGAGGATCTGGCTCTTCTGCTGTTTCATCTTCATAGAATCATAGAACTGTTTAGTCTGGAAAAAACCTTCAAGGTCGC